AGCTGTAGAGTTAAGCAAAGTGACCATTTCAGACATGAGGGACAATTTGTACAGAAGCACCAAGACTGGGGCTGGAAGAACCATTATAGGGAATAGCAAGTAGGGTTGTTCTGCTGAAACATAGGGCATATGAGGGATCTAATGAACTGATGAAAAGCTAAGGTGCCTGAGGCTTTGAGTCTGAGTGATTTTTCCAAAAGCATGTAGTAAAAAGCAGAACTTGGACAAGAGACCTAGACCTCTTGTTTTCATTATTATTTTTGCAGTTTATTGTTATTGTTGCTGTTGTTGCTGTTTTCACTATTTCAGGACTGACTGCCACTGTGATTTCTATGCCTGCTTCACTGATGTATTTTATGTAAAGAGTAGACTATTAATAGTAGTGCTAGCAGTAACAAATTACATACACACATATACATATTTATATATGTATATACGCAAACATTTATAGATACACTCATAAATAGTATATACACATACCTATATATGTATATATGCCAGATGTATATATATTTATATATATATATACATACATACATATATATACACACACATATATGTACATATATATATATATACATATATAAACTTAAGTATGTGCTATATATGCTTTCTTGAACATACAGACAGATATGATTATTTCTGGGACTACCAGAAAATATACACCAAGATCCTAGGGGAAATTGATCTATTCAATTTTGGAACACCTGCCCCAGGCTAAGCTGTCTTGATTTGTGAGTGAGTAAGCACAAAAACAGAGATCCCACTATATTTTATCAGGCTCTCACCATTAGATGAGTCCATGGTTCTTATCTTTTCAAGCCATCAACTACCCTGTCCATTTTGCCATTGTGCCTGTCTCTGCACAAGTACCCTGCTCTACCAGCTCCCAACCCCAAACCCAACCAGCAATCACTCAGTAATAAAATCAACACAATCGTACTACCATACTACAATTGTATTTGGAAAGTGGAAAGTGCATATTGACTTCTCTGTGGATCACATGACTATCCTTGTGACTCTCTAGATACTCCCTTATGTGGCCACCATTCCTATATGAGCAATGGTATGCTGGTAAATGTTGAACAACTGGTTCTCTCTCTCTCTCTCTCTCTCTCTCTCTCTCTCTCTCTATATATGTATACATATGTATCTATATATTTATATATCTCACAACACACTTTTATGCTTGATCTGCATTATTAACATTTTTAAAAATCGTTTTCTTAATTCTAGAAATCAGCAAAACAGCAAATCAAGGCCTGATTTATAGTGTTTGCTAATTTCCATGACATAAATGCTCACACTGAAAATTTAGCAACTGGCTCATGGGATCCTGTTTGACCTGAGTCTAGCACATCCCTGTATTTGTATCTACTGATTAGAATGGAAGTACTTTGAAAACAGGAAATGGATCATTTTTGTATTTTCGTTTCCAGCACTTAGCATAGCATCTGTCAGATATTTCATGGTTAATAAGTGATTTCTCATTCACTTATTCACAATACATTAAAAAACTGGATGCCTAGATAGCTTCACTTTATTAGCTGGTTTCAGCAAGCTTTGGATGTATTATAAGAGAATTCAAGGTCAAAGATCCTCAATCTGAATCCTTCCTGTTTAGCCCCAGACTTCACATAGCTTATAACCATGTCTATTCCTCAATAGTCTAGTGGAAACTCTTTCTGTGGCATTGATTTTCCTTAAGCAGCATTACAGAGAAATAGAGTCACATATATGGTAACTCTAGGATAGAAAATGCTAAAAGTCATCATCATATTGATAATGAAAGAAAACATTAAGAACAAAAAAAAATATAAACTTTTCCTGTTATAACCCAAGAAAGGCCTAGAGATCCAGTCACTTTGGGAGTAATTGGTAGAGACAGTTCAAATTCATCTCTTCTGATTTAAAAAAAAATATGAATTTGCAAAAGAAGTTGCTTGCTTTTTAAAATAAAACCAAAGTTATTCAGAGTACTCCATTTTCCCAAAAATTACAGATAAATCTTAAAAAATACAAATTTGTAGCAGACATCTAGGGATATAAAGTATATATTTTAAAAAGCAAACCCTAAAGTAAAAGAGTATTCAGTGCTTTTCTTGCAGCAGTTATACAATGATTTACCTATTGGTAATCGTTCAACAAGCCAGAAGTCATACATCTGCTGGTGGCAGGGATGATATGTTTCAAACAGAAGTTAAATCCCAGCAAGAATTGGTGAGAAATGCATGTTTCAACAAGTTCAAATACATACCACTCTTCTTTTGATCTTGTTATAAAATGTGTTTTTCATGTCCCCACTTTGCCATCCAAATTCCTTTCCGAAGTGAGCAGATTCAAATCATTAATTGAGTTTAATAATACAATGATGCATTTTGTTTTATGTGTGAAGTTTAGTTTGGTTTGCTGTATTACTCAGAAATGGGATGGAGTGGAAAGAACTCTGGGCTGCATATAAGAAAAATCAGATTTAAGTATTGGCCTTGACAGTTGTTATCTATGTGATCCTGAACTATTCATGTAACTTTTCTAAGCCTCAGTTCTCTCATGTATAAATGGGCATGAGTAAGAATTCCTTCATTTTTTTTTATTTGTACCCCTAAGCCTTAACACTATGCCAGGCCTTTAATTCCCTAAATGCTTGTTGGTTGACTAGACTTTCTTGGCTTCAGCTGTCTCCTGTGTAAAATGGGTGCAAGAGCATGAACTTCCACTTTTATATTTGTATCCCCAAGTCTTAACACTGTGCCAGGCCCATAGCAGATGCTTGAAAAATGTTTGTTGATTGCTGGGTCGATTTTGTCAATAAAACATTGAATAAATCATAAAATATGGAAACAAAAATGTGGAATAATAATAATAATGAAAATAAAAACATGGAAATTTGTGAGCTGTTATGAACAATTGGGAGCAGCCGTAACCTTCAGGAGGTAAATATTATTCTTATTATTCATCCTAGCATGGAAGTGGCTATATGGGTTCTCAAAAGCAATCCCTAAGGATTACTAGCTCAGGAACTTCCTGCCAGGCTGTAAATAATGTGAGTAGGTGAAGGATCTTATATTTGTATGTCATTCAAGAACCAGACTTCCTAAGTCTGGAAGGACTCATCACCAGTTCATACACTGAGTGAAATTCTTTTGGCCACAATAACTGACAAAGACCATACATTAGGGTCACTGAGGGGATATAATCTGTTTTCTAGGAGCAAACATCTCAGATGGCCAAAATTATGTTTTGTTTTGTTTTTTACATGTTAAAGTATGAGCTAAAAAAACAACATATTTTCTCACCTTCCTTAGCTCTGAAGGCAATTTGAAATAAAATATTTAAAAAATTTGAAACCTGAGATTTTCCTCCCTCCCCCATATCCGAAGCACTGTCAGACATTTTTAGGGATTTAAAGAAAAGTCACTGAACATAAGCAATTGAAACCAAAAAAAAAATTAAATAAAAATCGAACAATCTGCACAATAAAAAGACAAAATCACACACAAATATGAAGTGAATATATACAAATATAATCAAATAAATTAAATACAAAATAGCTTGGAAGAGTACTAGGTGTTAGGGTGAGAGATCATCTTATCTAATATATTCATTTATTTTAGATGAATACAATGAGTCCAGAGAAGTTTATATGATTTGTCCACCATCACCCAGATTTTAAGTAGCAGAGTCAGGACATGACTGTAAGGCTTCTGATTCCACACCCAGTGCTAGTTCCCCTGTTCTATTCTGCTTTGAGTTCCAAGGCAAATGACAATTTCTAGGGACAACATCAGCAATAAATGTCTCAGAATAATTCTTTATGAAGTATATTGACTTCAATCTGGAAATCAAATTAAAAACAAATCAGCTCTTCCTCTTGCTTAGATGGTAAAAACCTCAAAATAATAGTTATTTTTTGCCAAATTTCTATAGTCATTTTTCTTCATTAATTTACAGTATTCAAAAGAGTTTTGCTTGTTTCTATGACCACTGGCCATAGCTAATCCTAACCTGCTGAGCTGAAAGAGCCTTTTAAGGTCACAAAATCTTATAACCTGAGGGTAAACTTCCATAGGCCTCCAGATGATGACAGTGTGGCCCATTAACCAAAAAATGTTGTATCCAAAAGGCTTAAAAAGATTTCAAGAATATTAAATGACATACTTATAAAACAAAAAAAAGTGAAAATATAACTAGGAATGTTTTTCACATGTTTGGGAAGAAAGTGGACTTGAAGAAGGTGGCCTAATTTTGTCTGGAGAGGAGGTGGCCAAGCTCCCCAGAGAACACGAAGTGGAGGACCACAACAGAAAGTGTGGCAGCAGTGATTTTCACATGGACAAAGTGCTTCCCTTTCCCCATGTTAGTGTTCTGGGGCAAAGTCCTGAATAACCCCACGCTGGTTATAGCTACAAGTAAAAAAAAAAGAGAAGAAATCTGATAAGGTTCTAAGTATGATTTCGTCATCATGCTAGGCTTTTAAAATTCCATTTTTTTCAGGCTTTGAAAAAAGTATTTTTAACATTGATGTCAAATGTATTATATACCTATAGTCATTTCTCCAATGGGTATGCCTCTCTTTTCTGCAGGTATGGTCATATAGCTGAGTTCTATTTTGACATGTCTTATAAACCAGTGACTGTGTATATAACCATTCTGAAAGACTTTTTCTCCTCCCTGCCTCCTATGAATCAAAATAATGCCTACTGTCATTTGTTCAAAATCAGCATGAATATTATAATTAAAATTCAATGAAAGCTGAAGCCCGAGGTAGGAGTTGTGAGAGATAAGCAATTCATACTTAACAGGGAAATTTAAGCATATTCTTTCTTACTAATTCCTTTAGATGAAACACTTCGAAATCAGTTCTCCACTCAAACTTTCATGGAAAGTCCATTCTTAGAAGTGCTAGGCAGAAGCAGCCAGGAAACTGAGGTTCACAAGCTCTCCTTTCAGGCTACTAGGCGAGCTGGAGTATCTCACCAAGTCCTTTCCTGACAGGAACAATTTTTCTGCTTCTGGAAATGGAAGATTAGGGAAGGAATAAATTCCATTCATCTCTGCCTTCCTATCCTTCATTGTACTCTTTTCCTGTAAAACCAAGGAAGGAAAAATGCAAATAAAAAGGGGGAGCTGAACCATTTCATGGGTAATTTTTTTGGTTTTGTTTTGTTTTTTTGGTTTGTTTTTTATAAACTATTGGCAAAAGGAAGTGCTTTAGACAAGATTCCGTCTCCCCTGCCCACCCCGACCCTGTTCTCCCCTCTCAATAGACAGTCATCTCATTGGATATAGCCAAAGTCACTGAGGACCAATCAAGTATTACCCGAGCCTTCTCAGCAAGTTTCTAGGATCTCTCTCTGTCTCTGTCTCTGTCTCTCTCTTTCTCTCTCTGTCTCTGTCTCTTTCTCTCTGTCTCTCTCTCTGTCTCTGTCTCTCTGTCTCTGTCTCTCTCTTTCTCTCTCTGTCTCTGTCTCTTTCTCTCTCTCTGTCTCTTTCTCTGCCTCTGTCTCTCTCTCTCTGTCTCTGTCTCTTTCTCTCTGTCTCTGTCTCTTTCTCTCTGTCTCTGTCTCTGTCTCTCTCTTTCTCTCTCTGTCTCTGTCTCTGTCTCTCTCTCTGTCTCTCTTTCTCTCTCTCTGTCTCTTATTCTCTCTTGATATATAGATATCTATATATACACATGCATGCATACATATACACACATGCATATGTATGTGTATATACATACACATACATATGTGTGTATATATGTATATACACACAGAGACACACACAGACACATATACATATATTCATAGGTGCTGTATTGACAAAGGTCCATGCTCTTAATTTCATTGAGTTGATTGGAGCACTCATAAAATTGATTAAGGACTGTTAAATATTTCCTGACCCAGCAAATGAACTGGAATATCTTGGAGGATAATGGTCCTCCAATTCTAGATCGTTCTTCGGGAACCAACAGAAACTCGACAGGTTTTCTATTAACCATAGTTATTGATTGCCTCCTGAGTCCTAGCAAAATCATGCGGCAGCAGAGTTCTTCCAGACTCCCCAACTTAAGTTTTTTATGAGCTCTTCTATTTCCTTGGTGACCTAGTGCTTAGCATAGCACCTGCCACATAGGAAGTGTTTAACTACTTTTTAACCAATTGTTGACTGACATAACTGGAGACTACATTCACCTCCAAATTCATAATTATAGAAATTCAGTAGGTAAACCTCTTTTAACAGAATTTACATAAGCTACTGCTTACCTTGGTGCTTGTAAAGGCCTGTCTCAACCCAAACAATTAGTAAAGAACAATAAATAAAATAACGACCAGCAAAGTTCTCTAGCAGATTCCTGAAATACTTCTGACAATATAAATGGAGTTCTAGGTAAGTTGGCCTTCACCTCTAAGGTAAGACAAGTGGCCTAGCTCAAAACAAACAAACAAACAAAAACTCACACTCCAAAGATATACTTGTTATTGCTCATCCTTAGTTTTCGAAGAGGACCAATGACATCAGGGGGTGACATCTTGACTCACTAGTGAATTGGATTCATGTTAAAGAAAATTGCACAAAGTTGTCAACCTCACTCCCTCTGCCAAAGACATTGAAAGTCTAGTGGCAAGACAAAAGTCAAGGTGACCTGAGATGGCCTAGGAGAAAGGGGATGACCTTGGCATCTGATATCTGACCAGGCTAAGTGCTCCACAACTATGCTTCAGCTGCCTTCCTGGTCATTAGAACAAATTAATCTCATGTACCCATTTTGAAAAAGGAAATCTCCACATGCTTGGGGTAGACACCCCTCTAACTCACCAACAGGTTTCAGGCCTACTGGTTGCCCTCAACCTTGTTTAGCCCATCTGCTAATATCGTTTTACTGGATTATGGTTGCTGCACATGCTACAGCTTCTTGGAGCCACAGGTGAGAGTTGGGTGGTAAGATGAATAAGCAGCCTTGAAAAGGGCTCAGCAAGCTGTCATAACAGAGGTATGCCTATATACATGTATGTACATATATATGTACATATTTTTCCCTGAACACTCTATATGTCCCCAAAGTTATGTAAGCCTCCCCTCCCCAAAGGTAAGGGGTTGATTAAAATCAACCCTGTGAATCCTGGATGGCTCCAAAAATGTTATTTGTGGCTCAGGATGCTCATCTGAGTCATTTCACCCTCAAGGACTAGCTAGCTATGAATACCTTCTTCAGAAAGCCTTCCCAACCTTGATGGGTGCTTCTCTGCTTCCAAATACTAATTGTCTATATCATTCATCTTATATCTAAACTATACTGCCTTATATACCCCTAAAGAGATCAATGACAGGAATAAAGTTCCTATATATACCAAAATATGTGTATTTCATTAGCATCACTTTAATTAATAGTACCATATTTTTTGGGGGTAGAAAAATACAGGTAATACAGTGGTTTCCACTGATGGTAAAATATCATTATATACCAAGAAACAACAAATTTGAGGGTAGCTGGGTTTTGCTAACCCACATGTAGTGATTTTACATATAACAACCATTGTGGAGTATGGACATGATGCAGGGTGCAAGCAGTTCTCTCTCAGGTTCTCTTGGTGTCACACAGCTCATCCTGTGTCAACAAAATCCACACAGCTCATCCTGTAACTGAGTTCAAACACTAACTAGAGGATGTGAATCAGAATTATCTCAAAGAGTACTTCAACTTCAAAATCTTACATTAATTAATTTCTTTCATTAATTAATTAGCTCTGATCCTATCCCCAGTTTATTAAAAAAATGGATAAATCTCTTTTCCCAATATACTCTTTCTTCTCCTTCCCTTTATCTTGTCTCTCAGTCTCAAATCCCAGATTGGCAGGCTTAGACCAGCATAAACGTTACCAATCATATAATTTATTAATAATAACACATACTCTAAGAAATAGATAAATATTTCAGCTATGGGCTGAGAAAAAAATGTCACAGCTAGCATCACCTCTATGCTCTTCTAAAACAAGGGAAAAGTAGTTTTTAACTAAAACCCTTGCCAGTTGCTACAGTTATTGTCTGTGAAAAAACACTAGAACCATAGTCCAAGAATTCAAATCTTTCTGGATGTCAGTATTTTTCCCCTCAAGAATTTTCCATAGAAAGTCTTCTTAGGAGAATGAGTCAAATAGTTCTCTGAAAATATCTCTCTCCAGATGTTTTTGAAGATGGTAATTCTCCACATGCTTCTTCAGGGAAAAAAAAAGTTCTCTGAGTCTTCTCTCACTGTGACATTTTGCCTATCAAAAATAATAGTTAAAAGGTGAGTGTCCAGGATTCTATTCTGTCTCTATTTATGGCATCATAACTAGAACCAAAATTTCTTTGTCAGGAGTTTAAACAGGGGTTACTTGAATGAGTCAAAGAAACATTGTGGTGGCAAAGAATTGGAAATTGAGGGGATGCCTATCAATTTAGGAATTGCTAAACAAGTTGTGGTATATGAATGTAATGGAATGCTATTGTGCTATAAGAAATGATGAGGAAGTGTACTTCAGAAAAACCTGTAAAGACTTGTATGGATTGTTGCTGAGTGAAGTGAGCAGAACCAGGAGAACATTGTACACAGTAACAGCCACATTGTATGATGACTAACTTTGATAGACTTAGGCCTTCTCAGCAATGCAACAATCTAAGACATCTCCAATCTCATGATGGAAAATGCTATCCACATCCAGAGAAAGAACTATGGAGTTTGAATGCAAATCAAAGCATATTATTTGCTCTTTTTTTCCTTCTATTTCATTTTGTTTTCTCTTTCTTGTGGTTCCTCCTATTGGTTCTAATTCTTCTTTAGAACATGAGTAATGTGAAAATGTGTTTAATAGGAATGTATATGTACAGCCTATATCAGATTGCACACCATCTTAGGGAGGGAGGTGGGGAGGGAGGAGGAGAAAAATTTAAAACTCAAAGCATATGGAAGTGATTGTTGAAAACTATAAATAAACTAATAAAAAATAGAAAAAAAAGAAACACTGGAAAACTTTTAAGTACCTATTCAGAATAAGGTAAACAGAAACAAGAAAACAATATACATTATAAATATATACATACATAATGTGTATGGGACAAAAATCCAGTAAAGGGAAATCAAATGCTATTTAATTATAATAAACAACCTTCTAACTGGAGAAGAAATAAGGAAATAATTCTCCTTTAGTTAAAGAGATGAGAAATTATGGATGTAGAATGTAGCATTTATATATTGTCAGACACATTAGCTGTTTTGGTTGGTTTTGCTCAGCTTTTTTCCTTTGTTCAAAGGGGAGGCTCTTCAGGGTGGGTTTAAGGAAGAGGGTAATATTTGGGAATGACTGATGTATAAACAAAAGTTCTCAAAAGCACTTTAAAATAACTTATTTAAATAAAGAAAATTCCTTACACTGTATTAACCATTGTATTTTGATGTATATACAGATAGGTACCAATTAACATACATAATGAATCCAGTGAAATAGTCTCATCATTCAAATTCACATTGTTTATTTCCATTAGGCTGGAACCAATGATGATATTTTACATAATTATAACTTTGAATATTGAGAATTTGAATACGTATGACCGCTTCCCAGGATTCATTATTTTCCCTAATATAGCCCTAAATAAATATCTTAATTCTCCACATAGATTAGGAACTCCATGAGGGTGGGATCTTGATTTATATACATGCATACATACACACACACACACACACACACACACACACACACACACACACACTATATATATATATATATATATATATATATATATAATACATATGTACATATATATTATTTTTGACAATTTGGGGCTATGATGAGGATCAGGACTTGGTACTAGCATAAGAAACTATAACATAGTTAATTCTTCAGAAAATAGCTGCTGATGATACTTCCTCAAATACTTCTTATTGGCCAAGAATGATTGATTGTTAGAAATTTAGATGGCAATCATCAACTTTTTTTTAGTCATTAACATTTAAAGAAGAGTAGTATCAAAATTGAGGAAGAGTTTATTTCCACAATAATTCATTCTGATCAAATCATATAAAGGGTACTATGTTCAGTTCTTTGTGCTACATTTAGGAAAAG